AAAACTATTAGGAGTAAAGGATCAAGAATAATAGAGGTAATGTTATTGATGCTAATAATAGGAACGAAACAAAAAAGCCCTAAACATAATATGGTGGTTTGCTTCTGTTCCTTGTCAAAAAAGTTTAAGAGTGATATAGTCCAGAAAATCACGACGTATTTTTTATTTTAGACGATCTTGATCTATTGGTTAGAATTTATTTTGAAACTAAACTCTCTATTTTACATTTATTATGTTAGGGCATTTTCCAAATATCAGGTAATGAAGGGAAATCATCCTTACAAACAGAAACCCGAATTGGTCTATCCAAAGGTAAATTTATTTTTTAAACAATGTTATTTTGTAACTTGCAATTTCATTTTGTTTCTAGAAATTTAATCATTACATTTATCTTATTTTTCATAAGTTATTAATTTTATACGATTCTTTTCATATTTTACATGTGTCGCCAACAATCGGGAGGTGTTGAATGCGGGTATTTCGTTATGAGATATATGTTGGAAATCATCACACTTGACGTTACTAACAATTTTGATAAGGTAATTGTGAACAAAAATCATTTGTAAATAGCAAGCACTATTATATTTTCAAGTAAATAATTTGTTCTATCTTTTCGTCTTGATAATATATTATAATTATTTTTTCAAATTGCAGGTGTTTAATTTGGACGAACCCTTCCCGAGTGATGATATTAATGATGTAATGAGACGTTGGACTCAGCATTTTCTCGATATAACTTCATTAGTGAAGTAGGATAAGATTAGACTTTTGTTAGATATGCTTCGTAGTTTGTTGAACATGTGGTGTGAAACTATTTGTCACTTGGTATTATTGGTATGGTAGTTTTGTTTGTTTGTTATTATGGTAGTTTTGTTTTTTTTTAAAAAGTAGAATGTTGCACCCTTTTTTATAACAGGTGTTATCTACGATATAAAAAATTGTGCATTTTATTGTGGGTTTAAAATTATAACGGGTCATTATTTAACCGTTATCAAATTCATTGTTTTTATAACGGGTATTTAGTAACCGGTTATAAATTATAGTGTAAACAAAAGAAGTTTATAACGAGTAAATGAAAGTACGTTATAAATATTGTATATTTTATAACGGGTGAATGAGGAACTGATATAAAATAGTGTAGTCTATAACAGGTAAACTAAATATTTATAACGGGTCTATGTTACCCGTTATAAATGACAATCAATTTATAACGGTTCAACAACCGTCATAGAAAGTTCATACTTTCTATAACGCCTGAAACTATAACGAACCCAAAACCGTTATAAAAAGCCTTTTTTACCCGTTATAAAAAGTGTTTTTATTTTGCCCGAGATAGTAGGCTAAGAAAGTTTTCGTAGCATCCCGAAATTAAGAAAGTATTTTCGAAAATTAAACTCGCACCATGTTTCGGAAATAAAATCGAAAAAAATTACTCTGATTTTCAAAAGTCAAAGCTAGTCAAGGCGGGGTGTTACATTCTTTTTATACAATGATAGATAAACAATTAGAAACAATCACAAAGAACCTACACATGCGTACTAGCCATCAAAATAATAATCAAAACGATTGATAATAAGTTTTCAAAAGACCAATCTAAGTTTAATAATTTCATAATTCGATCATAATTCAAAATAAATCAAGCGAAAGCAGTAATATTCCGGACTAAAGAAATAATTAATTGTTATATGGATGGCAATCTTGTAAATAAATAAATATATCATGGTCAAATTTAAACGCTTGTCCACACACTAGGGTTATAGTAGACATTACACAACATAGTGGATCCCACCACTACCACAACTAACTTACACCTTATTTCCTCTCTCTCTCTCTCTCTCTCTCTCTATCTCTCTCTCTCTCTCTCTCTCTCTCTCTCTCTCTCTCTCTCTCTTACCTCATACGCAAACACATGCTGGAGGACATAACCGCCCGACGCTGCCCCCCTTCTACCATCTTTCGATAACCACCCGCCTCCTGCCACCTTTCGTCCGTCACTTGCCGTCTGTCGTACATTCACTGTCAGCCGCACGCCATCTGCCATCTAACGTCGTCTCTTGTTGCCTGCTGCCCGCCGTCTGCCACCCATGGGACATACACGGTCGTGCGCACACTCGCTTCAAACTTCGGCGGACAGAACACGTCTGCAGATTATATTCCGAACGCCGCCACCAAACCACCGTCACACATACTCCAACACCACCTCACCACCGTCGTCACCATCTCCACCCGCCACATTTCGTCGTCTTCTCCCCCACAACAGCCCGACCTCTGACCCCCGGCCTATTCTATCGAGGATGAGCGACGAGATGCCACACGCCTTCAAGCCGGCGGCTGCCAGCAGCCCCGAAGGGTCGGAGCTGATGACCAATTGTTACAAGTCATAATATTTCTGATTATGAGTGTAACACCCCACTTTTGATTTTAATGAAATTCTGGACTTTCAGAAAAATCAATAAAATTTTCAAAATTCAATTTAAAACATTGGCGGCGTTATTTATTCAAAACCCAAATCAACATAACATATAATAGTCATCGCAATGACATTCATCATAAATCAATACCCTAACCAGGGTTTCATTCAACATCAACCATCACCCAAACCGAGTTTTCCAAATTTTATCACAGAGTCAAAGGGGCATCTTCCCATAATTATTTCAAGTCATCATCAAGGTTCATAAATTCCAAGTTCATAAAATCATGAATAAGTTCAGATAGCGGAAGCAACTAAATAACGGTCTGGTCATCTAGACCGACCACCACTCGCTCCACTCAGTCGTGCCCGCACTGACTTAACCTACAACCGTGAGGAAACAGGTGGGGGTGAGCACATATGGAAACCGTGGTGCTCACAACTATGCAATAATCAGTAATCAACAATTATAAAATAAAGCAGGTATGGTCGCAGCATGTATATGAATCAATAATTCATCCCATCTCCTATCCCAGAGTCAACCCTCATGTGCACACCTATAGAAATAGACTACTGCTGGATAATATAGCGAATTTCTTCGCTCAGGCCTTACAACAAGTGCCCGACCAACAGGAGTAAGTCCACCCAACGGCCAAGACCTATGCCTTGGTCTTACAAACGGGGATCACCAGCCAAGGCCCATTCCCTGGTCTGTCATACATAAATAAAGAAGACTACCCATCGGGTACGTTCTATAGCTACGGGGATACCCGTTCGACGGCCAATACAGCTCACATCGAAGGCTACATGGTTCACATGCATAAATTGATCATACCGCAGGCAACAACAATTAATCATGGCATAGCAATTTCATAAGTAAACCCACCTGGTTACCGAAAAGGTAAAACACTACAGGCAGTGGAATGTAGGTCAAGACTCGACTCCTCAAACACCTACATTTATTAAAATAGCCCTATATATAACTATCCAACTCATAACTACACATGTAATATTTCACTAGGTTCAACTCAGCTCACATAACACATACAAGCATGCATTTAACAAGTGAATTCCATTATAAAAAATACAACACAAGTTTTTCAAAACTTAACCCGCGCGGCGATTTTAAAATAACACAACTTGCAGCAAATATATCATATAATCATGATTCCAGTTGCATTAGAACCCTAAGACATGCATCTACACTTCTTATGCAGACACCAAAAACAAATAAGGTCATTTACCAGGAGATAATTCAGCAAACATCTAAAATAGAGTTGCAGTCATAAAACCAAATTTTTAAACATGCCGAGCTTCAGTAATTGACACATAACTTATGCTATAGACCTCCAAATGACATGATTTAAGGACCAACATAAAGCTAAAAAATAAGGCTACAACTTTCATGAAAACCTCGGAAGCAAATAATGGCATTTAGCAGGTCATATATTGACTAACATAATGAACCTAGTTGCAATCCGGGAAACATAACTATGCTTGTGCATAGCTTCAGTAAAACAGACATATTTCATACTGCATGTATCATAATGACATAATTCTTGCATACTTAGAAAGCTAAATGGCAGCCCTACAACTTTCATTTAGGGCACAAAGCAGATAAGGTCATTAAGAAGGTGTAAAAGCAATTAACATTTAAGAATCAATTTCTGCCAAAAGTACAAAACTCATCTCATGCATATCCTAAATCAATTTAACATAACTCCGAGCTACAGACATCATATCAGCATGAACTATACTCCATAAGAAACCTAGGAAACAGACCTGTAACTTTCATGAAGATCACAAACTCATTTGAGAATATTAAGACACAATAAACATGTCACATATTAAATATAAACATGATGTCGGGTTTTACAGAGAACTGCTTGCACGATATTTTTGTAAAAATCATAACTCACACGTTTCAAATCGGATTTACAAAATTCTAAATCCCAGAGAAAGCTAACAGAATGGACTATATATCATATGAAAGACACAACTTCAAGAAAAGAGTTCTTGATGGCCAAAATAGAGGCACAACAGAACTGTTAAAACACGATAAATCATGAATTCTCAAAGAACTTCATCTCTTTAATCCCTTATCCAAAGCAACTCATCAAAACAGCCTCAAAGCATCTTATAACTTTTATATGACGCACATGACAAGAGAAACGAATCACTATCAGCATGTTCGATCAACCATTTCAACCCAACATCACATAAACTCATTCGATTTCGCATTAATCATAAAGACCACAACATAAAATAATTACTATAAACCCTAGTCATGCATAAGCCTAGAGTTCACATCAATTCACATAAATACACATTAAAATAGGGTGTTTTTAGCCTTCTATACCGTTCACCAACGAGAAGTCACGAGATGTGAACGGAAGAGAGCTAACGGGGCTGCTGGCGCGCGAAGGACGGCTCGGCAGCTTGTGCTTGGCTCGCAGCGGCGGTTTCACGCGACGGGAAGAAGGCGAGCAGTGGGTTCTTGTTGGTTGTGGGGAATGACCGACATGCCTGACCACCTTACGAGTGAGCAGCAAACACGGGGTCCTTAAGAGCAACGAGCTTTGCACGCCGGATGGAGGTCGCGAGCAGATTGACGAGGGTGCCGGTGGTGGACTCGCGGTGGAGCAGCGGCCAACAACCGAAGCAGCGACGGTGGGTATATGATGGTGGCGATGCAACAGTAAAAGGCTTATGATGAGGGAAGAGGTTTTTCTCTTTTCACGGTCAAGCGAGAGAGAGTTTGAGAGATATTTTTCCTATTCGTACGTGCATGAGCAAGAGTTGGTGATACATACACGTTCAAAGGGATGAAAGGGTAAGAGAAAAGGGTTTTGTTTTGCGTGAGAATGGGTCTAGGAACTGATCTGTTAGGTTTTACAAGAATATCCCAAAAAAAATCTTACCTTATGTGGTTTTGATTAGGAATTAAACCAATTAACTAGGCCATTAATAAAGATCCCAAAAAGGCCGACTAGATGGATCAAATTCTCCCACGGTTTGACTTAGCAAAATAAATGGTTCAGTTCGATCGCACGGTTCAAGATATTAATAATATAAACCGGATAAATTATATTTTTAATACACACAATATTTATTTAATATTAATACTCATTTAAACAATTAATGACAATTAGAATAATAATAATAATAATGCAACAATCAATAATCTTATCATATCCATAAACAAACGGGGCATTACAATGAGTTAGCTGTTTCACACTAGTTTTGTAAATTTAACATCTTTATAATTATTATAAATATAAATAATATACTCCCTCTTATTTTTATTATTTGTCATTATGGTTTAATTGATCATTGATTAAATAAATATCGTTTTGGCTATTTTGTTCATATTTTTCCATTTTTTTAACCTTCATCTAATGCACATGTCTCTCCATATCCCATCCCATTATTTTCCATAATATCTATTAAATAGAGTTAATATTAACAAAAAAAAAAAAATTTAATTAGCGTGTTATTTTTCGAATCGACATATAATAAAAATAGGAAGAAGTATTGTTTAACAGATTAATAAGTGATTAATCCCCCCTATATATTAATTCAGAACGCGCTGAGCCTACGTGGCTGTTTCTGGTGCTTCTGAATCATACGTGGCAAAATTACATGCTTCGTTATTAGGCTTGGATAAATTTTAATTTAATTCCAAACAAAAAAATAATTAGGTTCAGATTACCATAAATATGTTGATTATTACATGTATTAATTGCATTTTAATATAATTCCTTATTATAACTATTGAATTGTATATATATTTTAAAAGTTAATAACTTTTGTATTTTTTATCAGTTTTACATATGTAATATATCAAATTAATCTTCTTTTGATGAGCTTCGAATTAACATCCATATTGTATATATAAAAAAAAAAATTATATTTATCTTTATAACAATAATAAAATTATTCTTAATATTAATTAGAAAAATAAAATTATTTATCAACTAATATATTTATATTTCAAGTAGTTATATGACATAAGTTATAAAAACTAATATAATACAACACATGTAAGTCATAAGTAACACATATCATTCTAAAATATATAGTAATATTTTTTTTTTGTAAAAAAGTAAACTAAATTTAATATAGTTTTCTCATTAATTTTAATATTTAATAATAATTTTTTAACAAGCACCCGTATAATACA